GGACCGCGAGCCAAAAAGCTTTACGCATATATATATTGGCCGATGAGATTTGGACATATCACTGCATAAGAAAATCCCCTCATATGTCATATCAAACTGGCCGGTTTTCTCATTTGTGTTCAAAGGGAACATTTTAAACTTGAAGGACCCATATATGATTAATAAAGAGAGAGTGGAGTATTACAAGTGTAAGCAGCTGTTTGGTAGGGATTTTTAACAATATAAATGAGTTTACTTTATGAGTGGAATTAAGAAGGATGTGCTGAATTTTCTTCATCAAGGTTTCTTCTGGGATAAGTTTAATGAATCAAGGATATACAAGTAGCTTAAGCACGGTGGTGTTTGCACGAGAGAGGATAAAAATAAGGGAAAAATGTGTCCAGGCCCCAAAAGCAAAAACTTCATGTGACAAAGCCCTTCATATTTTTCCCCATGTGGATCAGCCCCTTGAAGTGTGACACTTTCACTAGTAGAAAATCGATCAAACTAGACGGAAATTTCCGTCTAGGTTGATTGCAATTCCGTCTAGATTAGTTCATCTAGACGGAATTCCGTCTAGTTTGATTGGTTTATTTTGCTTCCGTCTATATTGCTTCAAACTAGACGGAATTCCGTCTAGATTGATCAATCTAGACGGAAGTCAACCTAGACGGAATAAAGAATATTACTGCCAAATTTTTTCCATAAATCGGTGACACTGATGTGATTTTAGGAATCTGTTACTCTGAACAGCTTGATCTCATCAAGATAAGCGATTTTTTATATATAATATATTAGAACCAGCCTTCTCGGTTGAAAGATATAATCATTTTTTCCAAAAGTCAATAATATGTATGTATTCGCATTTAGCTTGTGATTATCCCGATTCTAAATGAAATTGTCTGTTAAGCATCATACATCAGTATCAAATCATAACATCAAAGCGCTACAAAGATGAACATTAAAATAGCAAACCACTACAAAGCACAAATCAATTGACATAAACTTGTAATTAATGGTTGATGAAAGTCACGTGACATCACATGTTTACTTATCCCATATATTAAATCTCGTTGGGCGACCAAAATTCGGGAAAAACAGAAAAACCCAATTGATGCTGGACTAACAAAAAATATCCATATGACCGAGGGGTTGAACGAAAAATTCCAATCTGACATTTTGGCCTAAGTTTTCTTAAATATCTAAGGCGGTTGTCAACCACGTTAAGTCAATCTTTTATTAGGCTTCCTATATTTAACTTTTATCGCAAAAGAGCGGTGTTAGAGGCACACCATGAGGCACACCTCCGGTCACACTCCCCCACCTGCTACAGTGCAGGGGGCCCCACAGGAGATTTTTAAAAAAATCTCCTGTGGGGCCCCTGCACTATAGCAGGTGGGGGAGTGTGACCGGAGGTGTGCCTCATGGTGTGCCTCTAACACCGCTCTTTATGGAAATAATAGTTCCATTTCCTTAAGTTTCCTCAATCAAAATGAAGTGTGCTGAGTTCTTAATGCATCAACTATGATTTATATTGATCACATTTTTTGGCATTTCAAGGGTAACTGGATATATTGTTTTTGTTACCAAGCTACTACGTGTACCATATTATACTAAATAGCTATTGTCTATTGCCTGTTTATGATCTGTTTAAGAAACTAATTTGGTGCATAATCATATCGTGCATATCTCATCTTTCAAAAGTACAACATCCTATTTTCTGACTTACTTTTCTCAGGATAATTATCCTTTCTTTTGTCTGGCGCATGGTGCTTCCCCAAAGTTGGTACTATTAACTTGACACTCACAATTCATCACTTCTTTGATACTTGAGTAACTTATTTGATAAATTAAGGTTAGTATTCCTTAATTAATCTAGGCAGTTTTATAGCAGGTATTTGTAACCGATAAACTATTGGAATTGTGGTTTCTGTATATGTGATATTCATAAGATCTTGCAATGTGATGATTGATAACAATGAATTTGATGATTTTGGCGAAGGCAAACATTAAGTTGCTTCCTTTGTGCATGTTGTAAGGAGACACATACTGTAGGCAGAATCTTAAGATCAGTTTAATCTATGCATTCTACAATAGACTAAAGAAAGAAGCCTCTTAGATATCTCAACCCATCTTATAAGTAAACTTTGTATCCTGAGAAGATCATGCATATGAAAAACTTACCTCGAAGTACTCAATAACTTTAGTTGAATGCTGACCCAATGGCCCAGCATATATCAATTCACCTCCCCTTTTCATGAGAATTAGCTGCATGAAGATGAAAAAAAATCCGGAAAAAACTGAATCAAATGGCGGAGAAAAAGTAATCCAAACAAAAGAAGTCATTCATTTAATGGCCGTAGCAAGAACTCAAGGTATAGGAAGAAGAACTCTCCATTGACTATAGTTCAAATAATCAATTTATTCAAATAATCAGTTTAATGTATAAGTAATTAGGGCTCTTTAAGAATTTTAGAGTATAAATATCTGTTGAGAATGTAATGTAATTAAAGAGTGTTAGAGGGCTTTTGTGTAAATGTGTGTAAGGCTATATAAGCCAACAATTCTATCAATGAAGGATAACTTGAAGCCCTAATTTCTCAATATGGTATCAGAGCTATCTAACCTAGCCGCCTCTCCGTTTGTCTGGTGAACCCGACGATTTCTTTCCCGACATTCCCAAGTTCGTCGACAACGAAGACGACGTCAGCCGAAGTCCCGACCAAACCTATCTCCAACGCCAGCAGACCCAAATCTGCTCCTTTGTCGGTGCAGCCTTCTTCGTCGGTGCAGCCTTCTTCGTCGGACACTTTGCCGAAGCTTTCGCTGGTGCCTTAGCCGGAGATCTCGCAAAGGACACGTCGTTGAAGAAGGCTTGGTTCTCTCGTCGATGCCGACCCCTTTGTTCCGATCTCCCATGGCGTTGTGAAGGATTCTGTCCTTAATCGAGCAGGAGGAGGTGGAAGGAGATCGAGGGGTGGGCCAATGAGAATGCGGCGATGAAGGACGAGCTGGTGGGGGGGAGAGAGAACGGGGAGTCGACCAGGGCGACGACAGAGAAACAGTCAGTGACGAAGAGCTTGGCGAGCTCGAGGATTAGGATTAGGTGGCCCATGCCGGAGTAGGGGAAGAAGAAGAAGAAAAAAAAGGGATTTGTTTGTCGTGGGGAGTTTATTTTTTAGAGAAGAAAAAAGGGAGATTTGTCTGTTGTGCTGATTAGAACCAAGAAAAAAAATCTGTAATCCGTATTAGATGACTTTTTTTCCTTTCTCGAATTGTAATAGCTTGTTTAGGTTCCCTCGACAGGTCAGTCCTCGAACTGATGAGAGAAGAGCTGATATCTCACCTTGTTGAGATATCTTGCTTTTGGTTCTTGTTTCCTTAGTGAAACAGGAATTTTTATTGATCTAACTTTCTTGTTGTGCTGTCGGAGTGCTGCCTTTTCACTGCATGTTGAGATATTTTGCTTTTGGTTCTTGTTTTCTTAGTAAAATAAGAATTCTTATTGATCTAACTTTCTTGTTGTGCTGTCGAAGTGTTGCCGGATTTTTCGCTACGCATCACAAGAATACAAGTTGGATCGATGACGGAGACCGGCAAAAATCCGATGGAGGAGATCATCAAAAAGTTGAATCCTGATGAGATCTCAACACTGATGCAACTGATGAGGTTGTTGAAGGGTGAGGGCTCGACAAAGCCACCACCCAAGAAGGTGGAGTTTTCACCTATCGATGTAAAGCTCGATGGACCCGCGATATATCTAAGTTGGTCGCGACGGGTGAAATATACCCTTGTCGGGAGGAGCCTGGAGGGATATCTGACAGGGGAAAAGACTGAGCCGGCTGAGGGCTCCACAGAAAAAGATGAGTGGAAGTCCACTTATATGTTGGTGTACACCTGGCTTCTGAATTCTGTAGTCCAGCCAATTGCCACCATAGTGGATGGCCTTGGGAGAGTGCATGATGTCTGGGAGAAGCTAAGGAGGACCTACGATAGCGTCGGGAATAACCTGAGGGTATTCCAGATCGAGAAGGAGATCAGCGCTATAGTCCAGGAAGAATATTCGGCCAAATGACCAAAACGACCACAAAACTCACATTTGTACATATGGGCATGTTTATGATGATCTATACGTGTGTGTACATGTGAGTGTGATGATGAAGCTTGATGGGATGCACAAACATGATTAATCTTGATGGGTTTTTGTGCATTATAACAAAATCTAGCAAGGTGGCCTTTACGACCGCAATTAGTGCATTTATAGACTTTGTTATACATGTGTGCATAGTGTGTAGGTTTCTTAGAAGAGTTTGCATTAGACTTTGCACACAAGTCCATAAGCTTGTTATGATTATCAATGCATGTGTTTAAGGTTGAATCTAAACAAGATATGCGGTTTTTCACATGATTCAACTCATCATTAGATACAACATCATTGATAATAGAAGTAGAGCATGTATGGTTATTCTTAAAAGAATCAAATTCATTTCTAATGCATTCTACTTCTAGCATGGCATTATTTGCATGAGTTAAGCTAGAAATGGATGAGATCAATTTTTCATTTTCCAAATTTAACATATCATTGTTTTCTTTAAGCATTATATTTTCATTTTCAATGATGTCAAATTTGGACACTAGCTTCTCATGATCGGATTTCAATTCTACATGCTTGCTTTTAAGATCAATAAAATTATTTTGTAATTTTGTATAGGCATGCAATAATTTCTCATATGCACAAGCGAGTTCATTGATGGATATATCACTATCGGATTCCGAATCGCTTACCACACTAGGGCTATCGCCTAGTGGCCGTGTGCATGATGATGCTCCACACTCACTTGAAGAACAATCCTCCAAACTACGTCGGATTTCCTCCAAGTTGCCTTGATGTGCTTCTATGAATTTCCATAAATTGTAAGCACTATCAAAATGAACAAATTTGTTAGAAAATGATGAGTCAAAGGCATTAAGCAAATATTCTAACAAAAGCTTGTTCATTGAAAACATTTTCTTATCATGATTGCTCCACTTGGATATCTCCAAAGTGGGCACAATATAAGCATAATCAATAACTTCCCATAAGTCGATATTTCTAGATTCAACAAATAGTTTAAATCTAGAAGCCCATTGTGCATAGGAAAAATTAATGAATTTAGGAGCAACATTGGATTTATAGCCTAAACAAAATACATTCATATTCAAGATATATATGTGAAAATATGCAAGCAAGACTAATGTAATCATAACTAGATTAGCACAAATAAGATAACTTGGATCTTTAACTCAAGGCGGTTAGACCTTAAATCAAAGAGCACCAAGCTCTGATACCAATTGTTAGACCCTAGAGGGGGGGTGATTAGGGTCTTATGCTAATCTAATCCGATTAAATGCCAATTAAAACTAATTAACAAGTTATCCTAGCAAGTATGAAATACCACAAGATATGTGAGCTAGGATAAGCAATATATAATATGATATATCCTAGCAAAGAGATATATAGCAATGTATATATGCAAGGATATATAAACACAAGGGTAAACAATGTAAACAAGATAGTGGATGATATAGATAATGAGCTAATGACAATGGCGATATAAGATATGAACATAAATATGAATGAACGCCAAAGCACACTCAAACAAGCAATATGATCACGGAGTTCGGACCTTCCGTCCTACGTCTCCGCTCCCCACTCCCGGGGAGAAATCCACTAACACAATCCGGTTTGGAAGCCGGAACTTCTTCTACACACTCGGTTTTCTAGCTAACCGAAAACTCTACAACTCACACTCTTGCAATCACACTCTACACCCACTAAGTGTTGGACCTAGCCGTGTCTCCCTCAAGTGCTCGGTTACAACCTCTCTCTAGGCACGTCAACCGACGCCACTCCTCTTGGGACGATCCCCGACTCTCACCACACACTCCTCACTCGGTGTACAAGTGTATTACAAAGTGATTCTCACAATAAGCACAAATATAACAAATGATTGTTCTCAAAACAAGGTGAGAGCTCAATTAAGCATAACTCTTAGTCACAAACCCACAACCCCAAATTATACTATGAATGTAAATACAATAAGCTCAAAAGGTCGTGTGTGAACAAAGAGATATAAATCAAAACTAAACTCAAAGTAGTTCTAGCTTAATAACAATGATAATCAAATATATAAAAGAGCTAGAAATAGAGTTTACAAAACTTCTCAATAGATCAAGAGTTGGATATCAAGAGTGGAGGGAGAAGAGTTGGATGCCCAAACACCAATAGATGATCTCCTCAAGCTCTTGTAGAATTGAATCACAAAACCGAAACACTCAAATGCTTAAAAGCTTCTTAAAACAAACTTAAACAAACACTAAACAAGTTTAAACCCTTGTTAAAATCTTTTAAACCATTCTCTTGTTAGATATTTTAAAACTGAGGTATAAGGGGGTATTTATAGCCTCCCAATACCTCAAACAAAAGCCCAAACCAAAAGACCAAAAACCTCTCCAACGGATACAAAAAAATAGCCGTTATGGGCATTCTGGGAGCTGGGCGGTCGACCGACATTTTTTTCGGTCGACCGCTCGCACTGTACAAACCTGAAAAAGTTCCAGAGACATTTCCGATCGACCGGTCCGGTCGACCGGAGTTACTGTAGCAGTACGCAGATGTTTTGTAAAATCAATTTAAAATAGTAAATGAACTCCAAAAATTATGAAATTTTGTGGGAATGTTCTAGACATGTAGAATAACATGTTAGAGATAGAATTTCTGAAAAATCTTTTCCCAGTTGAGAGAAATAAATGTTTGAACACAAAAATACAGTTTCTGAAAATCTGCTGTGATACACGATTTTGTAAAATCAAGTAGGCACAGTAAATCAACTTCAAAAATAGTAAAATTTTGAGGAAAGTTTCTAAACATGTATATAAACATGTCAAAGAAAGAATTTCTTGAATATCACTTCCCATTTATAAAAACTCATCTGTTTTGTAAAACATGCACGAACATGTGCACGAACGAAAACATGAATTTGTAAATTCCTTTAAACATAACAAATCAATTCCAAACTTGATGAAACTTTGAGAAATGTTTGAAAATGATATTTTGAACATGTTACAAAAAGAATTTTCCAATTTGCATTTCCCAATTGTGAAATCTTATTATTTTGCAAAAGTGTTCAAAACATGAAAAAAGTGATATACATGAAGTTTGATGTTTTGACATAAATAATGTTTTGAAACTTTGCACAATGATTATATAGACTTGATAAAATATGTATATGATGATTGTTAAGTCTATAAACTGAGAATATAATATTTGAGCTTAGAAACCAAATACGTGTGTGTATATGATATTGAGCTTAGAGTATCTAACACACATAATATAAAACCTAAACTAAATTACCCAAGCTAGATCTTGATCTTCAATAAGCTCTTCTAGGTAATCTCGCGGATGAAGCTTTAACTTGGATCTTGAACTTTGAATAGCAAGGCTTCACCGACATTCCGCCAACCTCCTTTTGATATGATCGTTAAGGCGCAATTCCATCCATCCTCCAACAACGTTGTTTGTCTACAATAAATAAGAAAACACAAATACTAGACAAACAACATTAGTGGTAAATTGTTTGTTAAACATCATCAAAACAAGAAGGCCAACATCTCTCTCTTGTTTGTTCATTGGAGAAGTTTTCTAAAGTCAAACTCTAGCTTTATAATTATATACTTGTTTGATTATCATTGTTATTAAAAGAGATTTCATATTTGAATTTAGTTTTGATTTATTCTCTTTGTTACACACACCCACTTGAGCTTTTAGTATTTTCATACATAATATATTTTGGTTGTGAGAGATTGTAACATTGATTTAGGCTTCATAGTTATCTCATCTATTGTAGAGAACAAATTATTTATATTTGTGTCTAAATTGT